AAAGAAGACAGAGATATCCATCAATAATGGGAAGACAGCCCATGTTCATTGATTGGAAGACGTAATATTGTTACCACCCTAACGATACTTAACGCTGCTTCCCAAATTCATCTATGGATCAATGCAGTCCTTATCAAACTCCCCATGGCCTTTTCTCCTCCCCTGTGGAAATGGAAAAGCTGACCCTAAAATTGATATTGAAACATAAAGGACCCATAACAGCCAAAGGAGTCTTAAAAAGAACAAAGTTGGAGAACTCACACCTCTAGATTTCAAAACTTCCTGCAAAGCTATAGCAATCAACCCAGTGTTGTACTGGCAAACAGATAGACATATAGATCAATGGAGTAAAATTGAGAGTCTAGAAATAAAACTTCACATTGATAATCAATTGATTTTCAATAACGGTGCCAAGACAATTCAATGGGAAAAAGAATAGTCTTTTCAATAAATGGTGTGGAAACAACTGGATATCTATATTCAAAAGAATGAAATTGGACCTTTACCTCACACCATATGGAAAAATTAACTCAAAAATAGATCATGGACCTAAATGTAAGGATTAACACTATAAATATCTTAGAAGAAAACATGAGAGTAAATCTTCATGGTGTTGGATTAGGCAATGGTTTCTTAGATATGACACCAAAAACACAAATGACAAAAGAAAAAACATAAAATAAATTGGACTTCATCAAAATTAAAAAATTTTGTGTTGCAAAGGACACCACTATCAAGAAACTAAAAAGACAACCCACAGAATGAGAGAAAATATTTGCAGATCATCTATCTGATAAGGAACTTGTATCTACACTGTATAATAAACTCTGACAACTCAATAATAAAAGACAAATAACCCAGTTTAAAAATGGGCAAAGATCAGAGTAGATATTTTACCAAAGAAGATATATAAATGGTTAGTAAGCACATCAAAAGATGTTCACCATCACTAGTCATTAGGGAGATGAAATAAAAACCACAATGAGATACCACTTCACACTCACTGGGATGACTAAAATAAGCGCATATTTAATAAATATAGCAATCAATCCAAAAAATAAAATAACAAGTGTTGGTGAGGATGTGGAGAAATTGGAACCCTCATACTTTGCTGGTGGGCATGTAAAATGGTGCAGCTGCTTTAAAAACAAAGATAGTTTGGAAATTCCTCAGATAGTTAGACGTAGAGTTATCATATGATCCAGTAATTTACACCAAGAGAATTAAAAACAAATGTTCACACAAAATTTTGCAGGAATGTTTATAACAGCATTATTAATGATAGCCAAGGAGCAGAAACAACCCTAGTACCTATCAACTGATGAATGCATAAACAGAGTGTGGCATATCCATACGTGGAATGTTTTCAACCGTAAAAAGGAGTGAAATGCTAATGATATATGCTACAACATGGGTGAACTCTGGAAACATTATGATAAATGAAAGAAGCCATGAGGACCACATATTGTATGATTCCATTTCTATGAAAAGTCCAGAATAAGCAAATACATGGAGACAGAAAATAGATGAGTGGTTCTTAGACCTGGGGGGAGGAGGAATAGGGAATGACTGCCAGGGACTGGAGAGTTGCTTTTTGGAGTAGTGAAAACACTGAAATTTGATAGCGGTGATGAAGGGGCAACTTTGCAAATGTCCTAATAATGACTGAATTATACACTTTAAAATTGTGATTTTATGGTATGTGAATTGTATCTCAATAAAGCTGTTATTTTGAGAACATCTCATTTGTTGGGTTAAGTTTTCTAGGAATTTCTAATTTCCTAGGAAATTCACCCCCTTCCCCTTACATTGGAGGGGCGGGAGGAGATGCCTTTGCTTGAGAAAGCAGAGCTGTGACAGGGGAGGAGGTGGTGGGAACTGCAAGGAGCCACAGAAACCCAGAGAGAGGGAGGGACAATGATCGTAACATGGTTTGGGGAGAGCTTTACACGTTTGAAAGCTTTTCTTAACATTTGAAAAATTTTCTTGGCCATCATTTTATTTAATCCTCACGGCAACACTCATTAGACAAGCGGGGGAACTGAGGCTCATGGAGAGGCAGTGTATCATCCAGTGTCACATAGTATCAGAGCCCTCACTCCTTCTTCCCCTACAATGGGCGAGAGTGAGGGATCCCTCCACCTGGGATGGGGCGGGGCCCTGGGGACGCACCGAAAGCACAGAGGACCAGGACACCTGTCTTTTCCATGAGCTTCTGGAAGAGCAGCTTGCATCTGGAAGACAGAGAAGCAGTGGTCAAGGTGAGGCAGGGCTTTGAACAGGCTGGTCCTGGTCTGGCCCTCACCCCTTTCTCACCCTGAGGAGCAGGTCCTTCTCTGGGCAGTGACACCCTCTCCAAGATGCTGGCCATGTTCGATGGCTCTACAGCATCACAGGGGGAAAAGAACTCTTATCCCAGCATTTGGGGCCATCAGAGATCAACTCACAGTGGTCACCTGGGTCTTTATCACTCCCTTTCTCCATCTACTGACTGCTTGTTCCCTCCCGTCTTCCCTCCTGGTGAACACATTCCTCAGGGTTCAGCTCGAATGTCCCCTCCTCTTATAACCTCCAGAGTCACACTTCCCACACTCCCAGCTTGGCACTGGTTTTGGTGTCTGCCTTTCCTACCCAACTGGGAGCTCATGAGTGGTGGGGCCAAGGCTGAGCCCAGAGGAGGCATTAAGGAAGTGTTTAGTGCATAAACTTCAAGTGAACGAATGAGGTGGAAGGCGCTGCAAGAATTCAGAGGAGCTTGCAGGGGCAGGAAAGGTAGCGGGAAGGAAGGGATGGGCATTCCAGGCGGGAAGAACGGCACGTGCAAAGGTGCGGAGGTGGGAATAGCAATAGTGGGTCCAGGGAGTGAGAACCCTAGCCTCGCTGGCCCAACGGGTTCACAGCAGGAAGCAGAATGAGGGCAGCTCAGAAAGAAAGGGTGTGGCAGGGTTTCAGAGGGCTGCAGGCTGAGCTGCTGGAGCAGTGGGGAGCCATAGTAGGTTTCGGGGTGAGGGGAACCTGATAAAAGCCAGGTTTGGGATAGCTCATCTGGTCTGGAGATCAAAGGGAGGTTCAAACCAGTGAGGGGGCTGCCATAGTCACCAGCTGCATGCCCCCAGCCTCCATCGCCCTTCCCCCACCTGCCCCTGCTCACCTGCAGTTGTTGAATAGAACTTGATGGGCCTGAGTCCTCAGGAAGCAGGCCATGCAGGTGATCCAGGCTGCAGAGAAGACAGGAGACCAGTGAGTAGCTGCACCCTTAGCCTGCAATGACTCATGGCTGTCCTGGGGCTGGGGTAGACCCCGGAGCTGGGAGACCTCCTCGACTTGCTAGTTGACCCCAGGGCAGCCCTGCTTTGCTTATGGGTAAGTGCCCCTTGGAATGAGTATGAGTCCTATAGGTGAGTACTGCTTGCAATGGGCAGTTATTGATACGCATACTTAATAGTGACACAGGAGCACAAAATGTCTGGGATGTGCGAATGTCCATTTCTAGACACCGGGAGCTTCTCAAGGACAGGGTCCTTGTTTGGTTCATCCTGGGTGCTCAGCATTGCCCAGCGGAGCTAGGCAAAAAGTAGGAAATCAGGATGGATGAGTAGGTAGGAGGATACAGAGATGGACCAAAGAGTAGGTAAGAGAATGGTTTAGAAGATGAATAGCTAGAGGATGGGAGAATGGGAGGAAGGATAGAAGAATGGATGGGTGGATGGCTCAGTGAATGGATGGATGAGTGAACTCATGGGCTACATGGATATTACAACAGATGGATACGTAAACAGATAGTTGGATAAATGACTTTGTGAATGAATAAATGGAGGGATGGATGGGTGAACATAGAAGTAGAAAACTGATCTTTAGGGTGTGATCAGAACCATGTCCCTGAAGAGAGGGTGAGTTGCATCAAACCAATTCCTATGACTTTCTCAGTGGCCTCCTGGCCCAGTGGCCAGGCTGGTAGCAGAGCAGGGGAGGGCTGGCAGTTAGCGTCTCCCCCAAATTGCAAGTTTCCCTCATACTCCGTCTCTCCAATCACCAAAGAGATCCCGGCTGGAATGGCACCTCGTCATCTCTGATGGGAAGACCTCCAAAGCTCAACCAATGGCTTCCTCCCTCCCCTGAGCCAGCACAGGCCTAACCCCTCTCCCCAGGTCAGCGTGGCCTGAAGCTGGGCCCTCTCCCAGGCCCACATTGATGTCCAAGGCGGCTCTTGAGTCTATACGTACACATACATCCCAGGATGCACTGACTCAAGCCTGGGGGTGGGCCATTGAGGCGGATTGGCAACAGGAAGGCATCACCTGCAGAAAACATAAAGCTGTCGTGTCACTGTCGTCCTCTGGGACGTGGTAGCTGCAGACACCTGGGGAGCACCCAGAGCTTGGTGAGAGTACCCCTGCCCCCTGCTCTGCTCCTTGGTGGGTGATCCTGGGTTGCCCACCTGACATCTCTGAGCCTAGGCCCCTTGCTGCCCACGAAGACCCCAGGGCTCCCTTTTTTCCCCTCCTTGCTCACGCGTGCTTAGCGAGGACTCCTCTGTCATCCTGCAGGCGTTCCGGCCGCGTTGGACGACCCTGGGGCTGACAAGATTCACAATGGCATTTTACGTGGTGTTCCCACATTTTGGATTGAGAAACTGAGTTGCACAAACGTTTGCCCAAGACCAGCAGCCTGCGAATCAGGGACAGACCTAGGTTTGGCTGACCCCAAATCCAGGTGCAATGCTGTGCTCCCAACACTTTGCCCAGTGCCTGGTACTCAATAGGTACTCAATAATCATGGCTGAAAGGGTGACTGCTCCACCACTTCCTGGCTAGAAGACTAGGAAAGCCACTGTCAGACCTCTCTGACCTCGGTTGCTGCATCTACAAAGTGCAGGTGGTGATCCCCGCTCACCTCCAAGGAGAGGGCAGAGGGGCAGCGTTCTGTAACCTGTAAAGGGCTAGGCAGCGGGAGGGGCTGCTGTCCTTACCTCCTGGACCTGGGATTTCTGCAGGGGTGGGTCGCATTGTCAGGCGGGTCACACGGGTCCCTCGGGCTCCTCAAGGGCCGTGGCATGGGTTTCCTTCTCTAGGACGGGGCAATGGTGGGGCTCTCTGAGAGCTGGCGAGGAGGAAGTAGCTGATAGTGCTGCCTCCTAGCGTTCTCTGGAAGGTGCCATGTGGAACCTGCTGGGTCAAGTGGAGCTGTTGGCACTGTGACCTCACAGAGCAGCTGTGTATGGGGGTGTTCTGCCCTGTCTCCAGCTCAGCCCTGGAACTTCCTCTCAGAGGAACCCATTCTGACCAACCTTAAAGTTGGAGAAATTGAGGCCTCAAGACAGGAAGGGCCATGCCAGGGTCTCAGGGTCTGGGCAGGGGTGAGCGCTGAGGCTCCAATATCCAGGCCATGCTTTTTCTTGCTCCAGACCCGCTCCTGCCCCGAGCTTCCCAGACTTGCCACCTTCCTTGGTTGTATTTGAATACATTTTAGAACGCGGGGCTTCTCACTGGGGGACATTTTGCATAACGCAAAAGAATGTATGTACGTTGTTGTTTTAATAAAGTTCACCTTTTACTGGGGAAAAACAAGAACATAACAGAGTGGAAACATCTGGTTATGTTTCTTTCTGTCAGCCCTGCCTGTGGAGAGCCTATTTGGAGTGTGAAGCTGAAATGAATTCACTTTTGCCCCCTGGTGGCAGTTGCTCAAATTGCAGGCTAAATACTTGTGAACTAAAGAAAGAATCCCTCCCAAAGGTCTGTGTACTAAAACCTGAACATGTGAATATGTTAGGTTACATAACAAAAGGGAACTCAAGCTTGCAGATGGGATTAAGGTTGCTAATAAGATGACTTTGAGGTGGGAGAATATCCTAGGTTATCCAGGTAGGCCCAACGTAATGACAAGGGTCTTTATAAGTGGAAGAAGGAGGCAGAAGAGGAGAGAGGTGGCAGCCTGAGGAACGCTCGGCCCAACTTGCTGGCTTTGAAGATGGAGGATGGGGCCATGAGCCAAGGAAACAGATCCTCTTTTAGAGCCCCTAGAAAGCAACAAAGACCCTGATTTTAGCCCAGGGAGATCCATTTTGGACTTCTGACCTCCAGAACTGAAAGATAATATTGGGTTGTCGGAAAAGTCATGACGTATTTTTGCCATGTTTTTCGTTGCAAAAATGCGTCATGACTTTTCCCACAACCCAATAATTCATTTTTTAAATCACTAAGTTTGTGGCAATTTGTTATAGCAGCTGTAGGAAACTAACACAGTACCCTCAAGAATATTTGATGAAGGGGAAGCCCTGAAATGCTGCCGCTACAATTGTTACAAGGGCCTTTCAATTGTACATTCACTTATTCATTCAACAGGTACTTATTAAGCACCTGGTATGTTCCAGGCATTGGCTGCAGAGGTGAGCAGAATGAGCTCTCATGCCTGGGACAAGGGGAAAGTGGCTGGCAGAACACCTGGCATGGTCCAGGTGCCACTGAACAGTGCTCTCACCATTACTGTAAGGAGGTGGGGCAGGTGAGAATCTCCCTCATTTGTGTCTACTGGCTGTCCCCCAGTGCTCCCTGTGCTGGAAATACCAAGGAAGAGGAAGCGTTCATGCAGAGAGCAAACACTGAGAGTGACTTCAGTCAATATTTGCACCCCTCTACACTGAGTCTGCTGTTTGCTTCAGCTATGGTGAGGGCCCGGAGGGCTGGTCTTAGGTAAGGGACAAACTGAGGCTAGCAGTAGGGTATTAGGGAGCACACAGCTGGCTCTTTTCATTCCCTTTGGCCTATAGAATAGGGCAGGGGAGCACTGGCTAGGAAGTCGGTCTGGTCCAGGTGAACTCTGGCCTCTCAGGGGAGAGCTTAATGGTATCTGTGGATTCTGTCAGCTCTGTGGGCTCTAGTGGGGACCTATTTCTGTCAGCTCTGTGGGCTCTAGTGGGGACCTGGCACAAGGTGGGCCTGGGTTCTGGGCATGGCATTTGGGCTGGTGTGGAGTTGCTAGGAGCCATGGAGGGCTCTGGAGTTGGGGAGGGCCCCAAGGTCCCTTGTGCCTGTACCCCAGGCGAGCCATACAGAGAAACGAAGGGGTCTTCCCAGCAGTTATTCCATCACCTCCCAAGCCCACAGGTACGTACACACACAAACACATATACACCCCCTAATACCTGGAAACAGTCACTATCCACATGTACACATATATACATGCACTTAACGCCATGTACACAGATGTGCAGACACACTCAGTATACCAAGCCCACATACACATACTGTGTGCAGAATTCCCCACATCTGCACGCATACAGGGTCATGTAAACAAGCATGTAACACAATAAACCAATATGTCAGTATGCCCATTTCATGTGCACACTCACACACAAACACACACTTGCCTCTGATGCCAGTAATTATGACCTCATGCACATGTATACACGACTATGCGCACACATATAAACACACACATAACCCTCATACACACACATATGTATAAACTCCTTTATGTTTGTGCACAGTTCTGTGGGCCCCATATGACCCAGGGAGAGCCTGGAGCTTGTAGTGTGGAAAGACATGATGGGCTAAATCAGGGGTCGGCAAACTGCGGCTCGCGAGCCACATGCGGCTCTTTGGGTGCGTACATGTGGCTCTGAAATAAAATTGAAAATGAAAGTAAAACTATCATAGTTTCATTTATAAAAATTTTGAAGGACATTATTCACATAATGGTGATTTCATTTGTTTTATGGCTCTCGAATAATTTTTAAATTGTTGTGAGGGACAGGGTTGGCTCTTCCGTCTCAAAAGTTTGCCGACCCTTGGGCTAAATCCATAGTGAGTGAAATGTGCATTTGGAGAGTGGGATATGCTGGGGTGTTAAGTAGCAGGAACTGGGTCATTCACACCCTCTTTGCTGCCCTTTGAGTTAGAGCTCAATGTCTGATGAGGATCAGGGCTCAGTCTATGAAAAGGGTGAGGGCTCAGTGTGTGACCAGGAGCAGGGCTCAGTCAGTCACTGGGGTTGAGGCTCAGGTAGCCTCCTGCTCCTCCTAAAACAGTCATGTTTCTGGGCCAGTGTGGAGGCACCAGGCCTGAGAGGTTACTGCAGCTGTCCCCCTGACTTTGGGTCTGGGATGAGGAGGGGACCCTCCTGGAAGCAGCTCTCCTTCCAGAAATCTTCTGGCCTTTGATGCCCCAAAACTGCCCAACCCCAGGGTCTTGCAGTGGTTGGCAGCTGGGCCTGGCTACGTGGCAGCCCCACTGCCCATGTGAGATGAGACACTGGCACAGGCCATGTTTGCAAGGAAAACACTTGCAACCACAAGCAAACCTGTCCCTCCCCACATCCCTTCCCGGTGGGCCCTGCACACCAGGGAGCCTCATAAAGCAGCTTCCACACCTGCTTAGGGCAGAGGAGGGCTTGGCTGGGTCTGGGAGTCCACCTGCTCCAGGAACCACCTGAGGTAGGACTGGGGACGGACTGGCCCTCCTCCAAAGAGGAACCTTGACTTCTCCATCTATTTAGTGGAGACCCTACCTCCAGCTCTCTTCTGCAGAACGGTGCATCCCTGGTCTTGCTGTGGGACTCTGGGAAGTGCTGCCCACCGGGACTCAGCCCATCCGAGCAGTGGCCCCTCATTCCCACTTAGCTCCCTCTCCCCCATTTGAACATAGATCTGACCAATCAGCTGGGCTGGGTCAGAGGGCTGTGAAGAGGCCCACTTTCTGGACATTCTTTACCTGGCACAGGATGAGATGAGGACAGGAGCCACCCCGGGTCCTCCCCTGTCTGGGTTCAGACAGCTGGACCCCAGGCTGGGGTGTCAAACTGGGCTGGATTTCCGGCATGTGGTGACACAGCCCTGGGTCTCAGGGTGGTGAGCCGGGGCGCTTTCCTTGGGACAGGAAGCTGCCTTCAGTCTCCCCATCTAAGAGTGTCACCAACCTCCTGCATGGCTTGGGTCCTGCACCAGCCCTAATTTGCTGTGTGGCCTTAGGCAAGACCATGTCTTCTCGGGGCCTTGGGGGCCATTTCCAGACCAGACCCCTCCATAGCTCCTGACGAAGCAGGCAGGGGAAGATGATTCTTCCCAATGCAGAGATGCAAAACTGGCGTGTGGGGCCTGGGGCAGGGCTGGGATCCACACTCAGGGCTTGTGACCTCCAGGCTGTGGATAGGAGGGCATTCTGGACAAGTTCTCTGATGCTTGTTCCCACCTCAGCCCACAGATCTTAAGGGGCAGTGGCTAAGACCACCATGGTTCGGGCATGCGGGCTGGGCCTGCTCTTGGCTCTGTTGCTGCCCCTGGTTGGCGCCTCCAAGCCGGTCACAGTGGTCAGACTCAACAAGGCCGTGCTGAGTTATGGTAAGAGACATGATGCGGGGCTGTCCCGTGTGTATCTGTGCATGAGTGTGTGCACGTGAGTCCATGTTTGCATGTGTGTGTACATTCCTAAGTGTGCATATTGTATCTGTGAACTGAAAAGACCCCTGAGGGCCCAGGTCTTATCTGGCACTGTGTCTCTGGCTCCCAGACAGTGCCTGACATAGTGCTGCTTAACAAATATTTGTTAAGTGAATTCATGGG